ATTTCTTTTACGAAGTGGATGGGGCACATGCAGCTGCGTTGTTAGGCCTGGGAGCGGTGTAAATCAATTAGAGCCGGTGCCGGGTATGTCGGGTTATGATACCCGTGAGTTATTGCCAAGTGCACGGCGAGAGGCTACCGGTACGGGCACGGTGGGCGACTGGGTGGGGGACCGCTCCGCACACGGTAGGTCCGTTTAATAAGACTGGCGATCCGTGGAAATGAAATCCGAGGAGGTTCTTTTTCTCTTCATCAAAGTGGGCTGGTCAGTCTCGTTGTCGTGCTATGTTAAAAAGAAAACAACAACCGAAGTCGCGTTATAGATCGCATTTGACCAATCAACGGCCCGGACAACAAAGCAGCGGTAGCTGCTGGTGCCAGGGGCGGTCTTCAACATTTTAGTTTCAAATCGCTAGAGGGGAGCACAATAGCTCCGAGGCTGTGAATTGCTTGGAAAAAAGGGTTAGACCTGACCGGCCCTTTTTCGCGCACTTAGGCCTATGCCATCATCATTGACAAGATTTTGCAGAAAGTGATATTGCCAACCTCCTTGCCGCTTCTTTAAAAAAAAAAAGACGTCCAACAAACTTCGACACAATTCCTTCATAGTGTCGGGTATAAGGCTGGTGTTTTGGTTTTGTGCACATCACTCTTTTGTTTTACGCTTTGACGCTAGATTTGCAGTATTAAGGGCGAATGGTCTTGTTAACGAATAGATAAGAAAAAGTCTACCTGTCACTTGTACCGCGTCTTTCACTTCCTTTCAAAATGAGTGTGGTTCATTGTCATTCGCACAACAGAAGAGACATGTCGCTTGTCCGTGTCCAGTCAATTAACTGGATGTCGTTTGGCAGTGAATATCAACCATTTAATAAACATCTGCATCGCAATGGAAAAAAATAATGAGGTGGGCTCTGGGACGTGTTGTATACCCGGTTGCAGCGGTACATACATGGCCTGGTAAATTTCAGTAACTTTCAAACCATCGAAGAGACTTTATCAATTGCAAACAACTTCAATGTGGGCCCCTTCGTGAGTATATGAACACCTTGCAAGGGTGTTAGCGCCCTGTAAGGTTTTCCACTCTCGTCGGCCGGTTGCAAACGTTCCTGACACTGAGCTTATAATGTAAAATACCCACCTTTTTGACCACAGCCCCAATATACGGACGCTCTGCGTGATAACCAACTTATATAGCCAAAGCAATCCTAACAGGTGAAGGGTCTACCATTAAAAATAAATTCCCATAGACAGCAGTGATAAATCCCCATACTTCACAAATATTTAAAAAATACTCACAACTCTCACGGTGTTCAGGCTGCACAGAAAAATAATGTTCCACATGCCCTCTTTCATTTTACTTTCAATTTTCGGGGGTTGACCAATGAATTTTTGGGAAACTTTCACCAGAAGCAGACCACCCCTAAAATGCAGAAAATGTCCCTGTCCAGAAAAGTAACCATTTTGAAAAACCATCCCTCGGCAAAATGGCTCAAATAGTGCCACTTTAAAACCCGATTGCATCCAAATTGTTCAGAATTGGAAGCCTTGAGTCCGTCCAGAGGTTCAGTCTCATATTTCTTCAATTCCCCAGTTCCATGGCTCTCAGGACCCTCTAATATAGAATATTTTGAATGTATAACTTTTACTAATGAGCTCGGCGGACATATTTCTGGCCTAAATACGAGGGTGCACCCTGAAGACAGTGAACGTGCGCAAACGGTGAGCCAGTTTACAGAAACCGCCATTGTATTTGGACGACTCCTTTGTCGTCTCCACACAGTCATAAACATCAAGTGGGGGTTGGTCGTCTGCAAACCCACAACGACTTTGTTGTCATCAGTTTCTAACAATGAACGTGGAGCGGATTGGACAATTATTAAAGTATCCCCTGGGATAGGCCTACTGCACTTTGTAAAGTTGCTGGGTAGCTGCACAGTGCACATACCGCGAGAAATCGCCGTCAGTATTCATACGTACGGAATCTTGTCATAACAGTGACTTTTGAGGTCTGTGAATTGGGCGATCTTTCTCTTGTGATAATGAATGGGCAGAAGGCTGTGTATTTTCTAACGGGGATGGTTCATTTTACGGTGGGAAACTCCAACCTTTGAGCGAACAACATCGATCAAGTTGAACATGCGTCACATGTGTGAGCAAACCGATGCAGATGAATGAATGTCAATGTGTGTTATGATTTCTAGACTTGAACCGATAAACTATCTGAAGAGAAACCAGTCGCCCTTCGGACCTTTTTCCCTCATTGCAGAAACACAATCTTTTTTTAACGTATACTCACCTCAAACCTCACCCAAACTCCTCGTCTAAAATGTTAAGCTAAAGTCGCTGTGAGGTTTTATTTTTAATGAAAACCCGCAGGAGTCTGATATTGGTCGTATAACCTAGAAGATCAGAAGGGTGCAATGTTGAACGTCTGTGATCACGAGAGGTGTTTCCACTTGTAATAAGTGAAGAGTGCATACGGGTGTAATAGCGAGATGCCCTGTGTGACACCTTCGGCAGATGTCGCAATGAAGTCAATCAGTCGATATCTAAAAACACTGTTGACTACTGGAGATTGCCAATGGTGATTGATGGGGATAAGGAACAGGCTTGTAACGAGACATTTTGTGACTCGAGTCGAGTCATGGTAACGTAGTGACTCGAGTCGCGTCGAGTCATTACAATAGAGTTGGACTTTGGACTAGAGTCGAGTCAAGTCATTGGGCGAAAAGTCGAGTCAAGTCAGGTATTTAGCTCGAGTCGATTCGAGTCACAATTAATGTTTGAACACAATACGATAAATAAAAACAAAAGAGAAAGTCATTTAATACTGCATGTGGTAACACCACATCTTACTCTTAATTGATGATAACACGTGACATGAACATTATAAACTGGCACTGTAAGTCATTGTAATTATTTTTTCGCAAAGAAGTTTGCTATTTTTTTTGGACAAGAGTCTTATAACGATCACTTGAGTCGGGTCCACTGATGAGGAACTTGACTCTAGTCGAGTCATTTGCTTGAGCTAGCTACTCGACTCGGGTCATTTACTCTTTAGGACTTGAGTCGATTCATTAACCTTTTGGGACTCGAGTCGAGTAGCCAAAAATTATTTCCAAGTCGGACTCGAGTTGAGTCATTACAGCTCTGATAAAAAGCAGAAAACTTACAAAAGTATGAGAAAAATGTCATGTGGGAAATGGGCATCTCGGCGAGGGCATAAGTTATATTCACTGTCACGGAGTATCAAGAATTTATTATGGGGGATGTGGCTGTCAGACGAGGATGGCTTACTGTTCGCGCCTTTGACATTGTTACGGAAACCAAAGAAGCTTTTGAAAATATAAGTACATGTACTAAACACGAACCGTTGGCATGCGAATAGATCGTCATATAGGCCTACACTTGACAGTCCACATAAGAAAAGGAGATGGGGAACAATGGGTGTCTTCGGGGGGCAGGGGGCGTTCCCCCGCTCCCATGGATGAAAACCACCAATCTGCTTGAAACACCTGGGCGTTCACCCCGTTTCCATGTTGCCACCAGTTTGCTGTTCAGCTATCGACGAATGCTCAGTCCCCCTCTGAAAAACCCTGGCAACGCCCATGTATTATACCCACGATCAGACACAAGGAAATCAAAGGTAAGAAAATTAGCCATGCCATGCCAATAACAGCGATTTGCTCATCGTGTCTAGTACCACCGTACATCGGCGCCCAACCAGCCTGCCCCAATGCTATGTACAATAACGCAGTTACGCAGCAGATAAACTCGTGTACTTGGCTATCGGCTAGCCCACTGATAAAAATGTTGTACGAGGGTTATCACATATAACGGTCGGCATGGCATTACTAGAGGTCAGATATATAAGAATGAAGATAACAAAAACTTCAGGGTACGAGAAGTACGATTTCCTGGACTCCGGCGTGTAAGATGGGGATAACAAAAATATGAAACGATTGCACGAGAAAGATAACAGGTTGTCCCCTCCCCAGTAATCTGATCTTATTTACTGAGACCAAATATTTTTCTCCAAACTTTCTCTACGCTGTAATGGGGAGGGGGTTGCACGCGAGCTGGTCACATGGGATGGAGGTGCGTGGCCAAGTTTAAGGTAGTTAGATTAATGAGCATGGTTGCTGGGCAATTCTTGGGCAGTTTCCAACCTCATTTCTGCAAATTATTGGGCACCATCTGTTTTGGTCCGTGCTCGGACCATTTCTCGTCTCAATTTTTTTTTTTTGTCTGGAACCATGGGAAATGCGTGTGGGCTCGGCAGGGGCCGTTTTGACACTTTTCATATGGTGCGTGAAAGTGTAAAAACCTCCATTCACAGCACCCTTTCCCATGATCTTTCCCTCACCCTTCTTACCAGCAGCAGCTCCCCTTTTGAGGGAGTCGGGAATTTGATGGGAATCACAGTCAAGCAAAACACGATGCGGACGAGTCCCACTGGTGTGAGAGAGATTGATGGTGGTTAATTATTAATACACACACAAGGTTTTGGTTGTGTATTTTCGACACCAGTATTGCATTTATTAGGTTCGCACCGCTCCTCGCCTTGGGCCTGCCTTTCTGTCCAACCAATCCCAATACAAGACCGGTTTACTTCCCTAACAGACTGGCTATTTGATCTACGGGGAGAAGAAACAAGCAGTAAATCCCACCGACCGCATATCATGCAAAATTGGCTTAATTTCTGGTCCTGGATTGGATGGACAGGGGAAAAAATATGCAAATTGCTGCCGAAACTTTCTCGCTTCGTACAGAAGTGCAGCGCACGGTGCGAATCGGTCGGGTGGTCGTAAGGCCCACAGCGCCGGCGCGGAGCTGTGACCGACAATGGCTTAAGCGAGCCCAGTGACTGGCTGGGCGCTCGATACCGCGCGCCCCTGTGCACATGCGCAACAAGTAGGCGCTCGTTTTCAATAAAACCAGTCATCGCCCGGTAAAACGCTGCAAAACTGGTCTTTGTTGACTCCTCGGAATCACAGCTGTTTCTCGCTAATTTTTTCTCACCGGTCTCGTTCACTATCTCGTTTCTGTTGTCGTGGAGGCGAAACACGTCCATGTCTGTATAGATAAGCTTTTTTTCATTCATTTTTTCCTCTGCCGTTTGTAATACGCGCGGTGTGTTCAGCATACATTAGGTATATGAAGCCGAGCAAGGTCCCCCTTCAGTTGCGGCTTGGGTTCCAGGAGGGTACACCCATGATCGAGTCCGGATCAGGACCAAGTGTCGTTGTCGTCGCTGCTTCTGCTGCCGCTGCTGCCACCACCAGGCTCAGGGGGATGTTCCCTGTCGTAGACCTGCCCCACGCTTCCCCGATGCTGGGACGGGCCGGCTCAGCCAAGGGCTCGGACATCGAGACCAGCGTGTGGACCTCGACTGAGATACCGGCCGATGTCAGCTTTGGCCCGTTTGATGGAGAGTTCCGCCTGGGTGCCGCCATGAAGGACTGCCGGGACAGCCCATACATGCTAGAGGTGAGTCACGAGGGTGGAAAAAAAGCTGAAGAAAAAATCAATAAACGCTCTGGTGTTGCAACAAAATGATGATAATGTTGACGATAATATTTTGTTTGGGATTGATATTCTTTTGTACAGAGGACTGTGCCATAAATCAGTTACAGCTCATTTTTCCTATTACTCAGAATCGTAGCACGAGAATGAGAATGCAATGTTTTTTGATTAATTTAAAATATTTAAAATATCGTTTTGGTCATTTTAGATGAAGGTATATATTGCAAATGATTACATCTGAAAACTGTGTCTTCGATTAATTTTATTTTAAACCAAAAAACAAAATTATGAAGCGCCCAAATGATAAAATAACAATGAGTAAATATGTGAAAAGGGCAAGTTCAGGTTATCTCGGGTACAGACAGGACGTGTTCTCCCACTGATAAAGATTGAAGCAAGTTGGCGTTTCTTCAGCGAACCCATTACCGTTTTAAACATTAATGTGCACACGCCCACAAAAGACGAGACATTAAGAAAAATGGCAATGAGACCATTTTATTGTAATGCTTGTAATTTCTGAAAAATTACCATCATTTACCATGCAAAACGTGTCCTAGAAAGTTGTTGAAAATCTCCACCAATCACAACCGGAACAGTGGTCTGACGGAAGGTGCGCCCTCAGTGGTTAGATCTTGACTTGGTTTTACTGAACTTTGAGAGGAGTGGAGCATTCCAATTCAAGTTCCTCACCTATGTTCGAAATGGAGTCCCTCCTCCATTGGTTAAAAACAGTTTTATTTCTATCATTGGGCTAAAAAGTGGAACATCCTACTGCTTCGGTTTACGAGGGGCTTTGGATCTTACCGACGAGTTTTCCACACGTCTTGAAGCTCAGCTTGCAATTTTACTCTGGTCAACCTTGTACGTTTTGGGGTTTTGTACATGTTATATTCTTTCATAAGAATTTCTGACGTGACATGCCTTCTACGATAGGATGTAACGTTGTAAAATTCCGATTATTTCAGTAGTGCGTAGTGTCAAGATTGCGATTTGACAAACGCACCCTTCTTGCAATGATATTTTGTGGGGACCCATTACAATGATAACAAATCAATTTTGCTTTCTCTTCAGAAGCGAAAACCTGAGCTATATCCATTTTCAAAATATATTTGTTTCATTATCATTGTTAGGTCTTTTTTGGGGGGGAATGGGTTCTCTGATGAAGGGAATTGTACAAGTAACTCAACTAAACTTGTTGAAAAGGTAGTGACACAAAACGTAAATCTATCTCCCAGTGAGGCTGGCCACAAAAAGGGAAGCGTGCACTTTTACTTGCGAGTACAATTGGAAACCAATCAGCGTCCTCACTAACACATACACAGCATTTTGCAGGTATCCATTCAACACACTGTGAAGGAAATGAGGCTGCAGAATCGATATAGGCTATGTAATTTTCTCGTAAGGTCTTTTTGCTGGTAGTTTTTTATTACCCATGTAAGGAAAACACCCGCTTGGAGAGGGTGTTTGCATTAATGTCCGCGCAAAAACAAGGGCTGCTAGTATGACATTATGATGACTATTTCTTGCAGTGTGCCGCAACATCGCTGAATCTGATCGTATAAGGGCTTAAAATCAAATCAAACAAATCTGGCCTTGTCCGTCAAGAGCTTTATTGACTCTTGTGGCGGACGAGATGATATGGTGGATTGAACTTTTCATTTGAACTTGACTTGCCGGGAAACTTATCAGAATGTGAAACTTCTGTCGAGTGACGGTTACTGAAATGAGAAGAGCAAAGAAAAAATCAAGAGAAAAACACCCAAAGAAAACTGGACAAAAAATGAAGTCACGTTGATGCAGGGCCAGGGCGATATTGCAATGTTGCAAGCAAATAAAGCGACGATGAAACGAACCGAGTCAAAAGTATTCCTTCGTGACGTTGTTCATTCTCTGTCACCCGTGAACAGAACCTGTGCCTTACAGTAGCATAATTGGGGCGGGGGGATTAAACAAACCCCTCCATACAAGAGGCCTGTGTCCCAATTTGCCCCCCCCTGCCGGTCAGAGATTATCGAAGGCAAACAATGTGGCGAATGTCCACCCTGTTGGTAAGTGCCGAACCCACTGAGTGTCTCCCTCCAGAAAACGAGGGCCCCTCTTGCGCCCTCTTTAAAACTCACCCTCATCACGCCACTGGTGTGCCATGGCATGTGTTTTGACTCGTGCTTCACTTGTAATGGAGCTGTAAATGGGCTCTACGACGAGGTTGGAGGCCTCTCTCATCCCTGTACTAAAAACCACGCCCAGTTGCAACCCCAACAACCAACACATGCAGTGTCTTAGCTCAGATTTAGACAGAGTCGAGATAACTGCTCTAGTGGATTAATTTATTCAAGCATATGGCCGTACATATTCCGAGGAAGGATGTCCCCCCCTCCCGCACGCCAAAACGACGCAGTTTCCCCATAGAGGACAAAAAATGCACTCCTCTGTATGGCTCCCCTACCGGAAAATATTTTTACGAGCAGGGAGTCCAGGAGACTTTCAGTTCTTGAGAGCATCAACACACCAAGTTTCCCCCTTTTTGTTCCAAAAGAGCACAAAATCTATTACTTTTGAAAACTTTGTTCAAAAGGGGTCCCATATATTACCAGCCACCTTCCCTCGGCTGAAAATATCCTGGCAGTCCCACTGCTTAAGGATCACCCTGCGGGGGGTCTCCGGCGCAGGGGCAGGGGTTCATGCTTATACGATGCAAGTTTTCAGGAACGTATCGCGTGACTTCTTTTGTGGAATAGCACGCCCTACCTGTAACTTTTGATTGGAAAGCTCGTTCAAACCTGGGCTCAGTGGTCCCTTTTGTGTCCCAAACGTGAGTCCGACTGTCCCATATGGCAGAGCATTTCGCTTGGATCAATGACAGCGGTTCTTCTTGCCGTCACGGCCAGGGTCTCGCCACTCTATGGTCGATCCCATTGTCGGATTAAAAATGACTGGCATTCGGCAGTGTAGTGGTACGGGTACCCATATATAATGCATTGCCTGACGAAGAGGCATTGGTTACTGCCTTTGTCACTGGCTTGCTTCTACCACTGTCGTTTATATAATGATTGCTACTACCAAGTCTGTCCACTATCGCCACTGTAAGAAGCGTCAAATGCATTGTGATCATCCTTGTCGCCTTTTACTAACGTCGCTGACAGTTGTCATTGTCGTGGCAATCACCGTCTTCATCCTCACCTTGAAACATTCCTCGCCCCCCTTGCCATGTAATGCTGGAGTTTATAGTGGCTCAACGTATGCAGTTGTGGCTATAACTATCGAAACTCTCAGAATCACCTGTTCAAAACTACTTGTCATTTTTTCGGACCCTTTTAACAGCTCTGTGTAAGAAAGATACCTTTTTATCTATTGAAGTTTCTGCAAAATTGACCAGTGGACCCGGGTGTTACAGCACGAGAACGACAAGTGTCCTTTTGGGATGGGGTCACCTCTTTCAGAAAGTGGGGGCAAAAACATGAACAAAAACTCCAACTGGAACAGGCAATCTGGGTGTGATTTTCCGAGTGAATGGAATAATTGTTGTAAAGGGAGTATTAGTAAAACGCTGACGTCACGTCACATGAAAACTTACTCTTCCTCTCTAGAGTCATTTCACAGTTGTTGTTTTTTTTTAAAAGAGGGGGCATCTTGAACATCAACAAAGTTCCAACCGTGTAACCTAAATTTTGATTTTCAAAGACATCGACTTGACAAACACTGAATGAATCGCTGATGTCCGTAGTGCATTAGTTTGGAGCGTATAATTGCCACAATGTAGGAGAGAAATTCATAAGAGTTGGCCCCATAAGGCGTGTTTTAACCATACATTTTCTAAATTCAAACTTTTCATCTGATGCAATCATTGAAGTAATGACTCTTCTTTGAGGCTCAATTAACCAACTTTACCCGAATGTACGCCCCTCTCACAAAAGATTTGCGAAAATAGGTGCCAAATTATATAACTCAGAAAGCAATGCCTCGGAAGAACTCCTCTGGTTTTAAAAAGAAAGTGGCAGGGGGGGTTGTGTGTCTGTTCCATCCAAACTTGAAGAGTGTGCCCAGAACTGCATAATTATAAACTACATTAGTGAAGGCCAAAGATAAAGTCGAGGTCCTACATTATGTCCCGTAAGTCTCCGATCAATGCATAAGCGCGTAATGCACACGCACGTTAGCGAGTGGTTAGCTACGCTCAGCCGTTTTATGCGGGTATGAGTATGGGAAAATTACTGCGCTCGATTCACTTTGCAGTCGCCTTTCTTTGAAAACAACTTCAAATAAACACATTCAAATAAAAATATGAAGCATGTCCCCACAGTAAAGCTTCGGTTGAGGACTCCCTTTGTTGGGCGAATATCACTTTTGGCAAATATCAGTTTCATTAATTAGAACTTTCCTCTGCAGATTTGTACGGGTATACACATGAAATTTAATTTACAAGAACTTTGTGACACGGTCTCGCATGACTATGAACGACTTTGTTGCCGTTCGGAACTTGATCGATCGTTCCCGTCTTGTCCAACGTGTCGCACCGGTAGACATAAAGCCTCTTTTTTGTCTTAAAAGATGAAAGAGCCGCCACCTTAGGAATGGTACTACCATCATATTTTTTTGATTGAGGATTTCGCACAGATGAAAGAATCGACGTTGTAGAAAGTAAATACCTATCCTTCCTTTCAAAACTCTCCGACTCAAAACCCCTAAGCGAGCTCCGATTACACATCCAAAAGTCGCGGTAGGAATCCATTCAGCAAAATTGCCATTCTGTGAAAAAAAGTCTGATTGCGCTTCACCGAGCATCGATGGTTTTATAGCATACATCTGTTCAAAGTGTAAAATGACTACAGAAGCTCTTCACTGAAAAGCCGGTTCAATTCAACCATAAACTCATAAGCAGGTCAACAATTATAGAAACGCTTTTTGTTACCCTAGTATCAGTTTTTATGTTCATTGTTATCGTCATGTGAGGGCGCTGTAACTAGTCATAATTTTTTTGAGTAAGTCACCCAACTGGATAGCAATTTTTAAGTATGGCATTACTACAATATCATTGTGGACATACCAGCTCTGATCATGCACCTTCTCAACATCTTACAGCGTTCAAGAGCAGTCCTTTGGGTAGACTGATTAAAACTCCCAACAAAAAGTGCATTATTTAACTTAACGCCTGTAAAGAAGACCAATACAAAAAAGAAGACAAAAACCCACAGATTGTAAAAAAAAAATCAGATTTTGTATCGATCACTTTAAATCTGAAAAGAGCGCTTTACTACACAGCCATAGTTTGAGCTGTTTGAGAGAGTGACTTTACGTTGGCAGTCACTAACTTTGAGAACAGACTTGACATGCAAGCGTTTTGCATGGGGTAGTTTGGGCTTCGTGTTCTGCGTGCGTGGCAAGGAGGACCTAGTCTGGGGGCGGGACCAGCTCATGCATGACCTCCTTAAAGGCCACTTTGTTTCCTTTACTAAAGAAATTATAGGGTCCACTCGTCTGTTGCTTACGCTACGGGTTCTCGAAAATGATCGCTCGTTCTCTTTTTATATTTCCTGCTTGGTCTCACCCCCAGTGACTTGCTCCTTGCCAAGGACTTCGACGCAAAGAAGCCCCGTTTTATTGTTTTCATCCCCTTTGAGGGTCCGAGCCTCTTCTCCCCGAGGACCGATTAGTCCGAATAACTACCCGCCGAATCCGGTAGATCTCGCCTAATTAAACACCGTAATGACTTCTCCGGGAGTTCGCGTCTTGCGAGCATTCACTCCGTCACCCTACCCCAGAAATCTCTTTCTCGGTGGGGATCAAGAGCTATTCTATTTTTACCAAATCACTGCTCAGTTGAAGCAATCAATTACCCGTGTGCCAGGAGACACGCAACTACGTGTGCCGGATTCAGGGTTAGAATATTCAGTAGGACTGTGCCCAATCAATGCCTACACAAAAAGTTGGCACCTACGAAAAGTTTGAAGGCTGACGAAAAACACAGCGTGCCAAAAATGCATATACGCCTTTGCAAACATAACGAAAGTTTTAACAACTATTTGCGTCCTTTTAAGTTGATTTTCCTACTGTGGGGAACTTAAAACGAGACTCTGTGTAACTTCGTGGGGCTTCAGCCCTATAACCAGCTCTATGATGGTACTCGACGGTACCTGAATCAGAATGGGACCTACTGAGTATTGGCATCTATGGCCCCCAAACCGGTGCCACTATGGACTGCGGAACACTTCTTTATTCCTAAAGACCAAGGAGTTATCAGTGGGTTGGTATAGCTAAAGTGGTTTAAGTTCGTCCACAGTGCGACATGGACATGCCTTTTGAATGTCCATGGGTTAGTATCGCATTAGCCGCGTGGTGTCCCGCCGAATAATCTTTACGTTCCGTATCTTGGCACCAATGAAGTACCACTGGAATTCTGAACCCCAAATACATCATTGAGAGCAAAGGGGGACCAGCCAATAGACTTATTAACGTAAAAGCCATCTTTGCTCGTGTTCCCTGGATCTATCTTATCCATCGTAACTTGCTAAATAGAGTTATGCCAGACTATTTTGGATATCAAGTCTCCCTTTAAATCGGAGGCTTAAATTAGGCACATGTACCATTAAGCACAGACTTTGAATTATTCATTAGAGTTAGGTGGCATTACTTTTTGATAAACTTTTATGACTTGTAAACTTTGATTTTTTTCTTGTTGTTAAAATTTTAATTAAGTTAAATTCCGAAACCACATGGGGACCGAGGTAGGCCTGTAAACCTACTACAAGTTGGGTCGTAGACTTCTGTATAGTCTGCAGTGAGTTTGTCTGAAGTCTGCAACGGTCCTCCATCAGCGGCCGCTTTCAACCAAAAAATAGTTGCAAAGAGCGTTTTTGAGCATTCAAGGTCATCGCACATGCGTCCTTTGTCTCTGTATTCGTCTCAGTGAGAAGCATGGCAGCACATAAGCTGTAATCGACGTAACGTTCGTAGAGACGCCAACGAACAAACGCTTTGCATGAAACGGGATCCCACTACACAAACCCGGTTTTGCTCCTCCGCTATAATCGGATTTGTGGGATTCGACCCGGAGTAATTTTTGTGCGTACAATTCTTTTCTTTGCCTGACCATTTTGGCAAAGGGTCATCTCCTGGGTGAATGCTACCACCTCCTTGCGGTCTGGTCTCTCCAAGCCCCCCCCCCCGCTTCCCACTCATCTCATTCTTTGGGCGGTCATTTATCTCTTTCTACTGTCTTCAAAATGACCGCGCGTCTATGTGGCTTATCCCACCTTTACTGGGGCATCTTTTGTGATGGCACCGAACACCAGTCACTGTCTGCGGACCTGGAGTAACAACAGCATGATACTGTAGAAAGTGAGCCTAATAAAAGAAAGTTGTCCTGAAGAACAGCATTGGGGTGCAGCTCAGTCTGAGGCCTACACACCTACGTCCTGTCTATAACCTAAGGACACACATGCACACTAAGAATACCCCTCGAATTTTTGCTCTGTAAATATCGTGACGAAAACGAGAAATTTTGAGTTGAAAACGAAAAGGGATGAGGTATATGTTTTCTCGCGGGGGTGTCTTAATGTGTGCCATCACACACGGAAACCACGCGGAAACCACCATCGTATGGTAACATATTTTGTAGCATCGCATGATATTACTGCAGTAAATGGCATTTGGGAACTTCCTCCTGTAAAATGTAAAAACTTACATTGGTCAGAGAGGGAAGGAGGAGGAGGCTAACCTCCCAACCCCGCCCACCTAAGGCTTGAGGCTAGTAAGACTGGGTCCGAATCTCCGAATTACTTGGCTATGGCGTGAATTACACACGACTCCATGGGAACTGTCTGTGTCCACTGTACCATAGGCTCTTGTGTAATTTCAGGCCACAGCCAACTAATTCGGACACGGCCTACCTCACTTATTATCAGTAAAACGAAAGATTGTGCAGAGCCCTGACCACTACAAACGACTGTGGGGCGTCTCGTCTTGATTTTAGTAGTAAAACTGTATCTTCAACTAAGATCAATAGAGCTGGTCGGAATGCATTTTCCCCCTTTTTGTCCCCTTATAGGTCAAATACTCTGAAGGTCGGCTGGTCAGCGGCCCTGACTCCCATCCCACCCGCTGGATGAGATTTGTCGCCGCGGCGCACGACGACCACGAACAGAACCTTTCGGCTGTTCGTTCGCCAGAGGGGCGGGTGATGTTCCGAACTAATCGCAGCATCCTACGAGGGGAAGAACTCCTGGTCTGGTACACCAACGCATTTGCCGAGTACCTGGGAATGCCTTTAGCAGTCAACCACTACCGAGGTAAGAGACAGTTTAGTGATCTTGGACCAGAGCCCTGTATTAAAAGAGCTATGAAATGAGTTTGATTATTACAAAGTGCACGACGCCATTTTGTTTCCACAACTGTACAAGTAGGTTGTGGAGAGCGAAGCTACACTTGGATCAGAAAATGGCTATGTAAGTTAGAGTCGAGTGAAATGACACAGGAATGCTGGAAGTTAAACGATTGGTCGTTTCGTGTGTAAGCACACATGCAGACTTGAAAAGACCAAGAGTTTGCAACGCGTTGACCAATCACTGTGCCAAACGCGCGTTGGGTCGACAGATTTCGCGCACTGTAATTGGTCAATGCGTTGCAAACTCTTGGAGGGGCACTATTGTGAATCGCCCGTATTGCTATAGGAGAGACACTTTTTATGGAGGGTGCTTTACTTATATTTAAATTGAGAGATCGTGTGTTGAATCCAAATAACTCTCCAGGATGATAATTTGGAACATTGTATGATTTTAATTAATGATACGACGGAAGTTTCAAAGGTTCCAAGTAGAATAATTTGAGAGGTTGAAACAGACGTTTTCCAGTGGAGGTGGAAATCAATATTTCTCGATTACGAAACGGTGGCCAAACCCAACCTTTTGCATTTGTAGCTACTAGTTTCCTCCTTGTAATTCCGGACTGGAGTTAAGCATTCACATTAATAACTTTTGTTGTTAAATGCAATTCATTGATATGTTTACCGGCCGACTAGCTCCGACATCTGGCCGGTCCAAAGTTCGTGCATTTGGCATTGGATATTATCGATTTCTGGTCAATAATTATGATGTCTTGGTGATTAATGTCCACGCCTTTTTCATGTGAGCCTCATTATAGAACCCCCGAAGAACCTGTAGAGTGTTATGTCCCTCCCAGATGAGTAAACAGTAGACAACAAACAGACGTGACTGCTCGAAACCACCGCCACGTGCTCTGTTCGTTGTCCGCTGACTGACGTCGCGCCTCATCTGGTTTCCAAGGGTTTGTTTCGCGCCATTTGTGTCGCTCTATCATAAGCTCTGACACCAGTAACACCATCCGTCGATGATTTGGCTGACAACGTCCTAACTAAATTAACGGTATCTGCCGCGCTGGGTAAACAGACAGCCGTGAAAAAGTGATCAGAAACGCAGCCGCGTGGGGAATTTTCCTGTCTGCGTGACATTGATCATTTACATTTGCCGTGAGCAAACCGTTCCAACATGCGCTCGATACTGAAGATTGCATATTTTAATGCACATTTTACTGAAAGGACGTAATTACTATGCACTCACCGATTTGGCATGCTGGCTTTGGGTGTTTGATGGGGCGATTGATACATGCTTCGTGCAAGGGCGGATCTAGAATCATATTTTCAGTGGGACCAAACCTGATGTGCGTTTTTTGGGGGTGAGGCAAACATTTTGGTTTTTCATGCTATTTTCTCTGGACTCTCTGAACGGAGAGGCTGCATTTCAGGCCTTTTTAAACGCATTTGGAAGGAGGAAAATTGAAGTAGGCCAAAACATCGCCTCTCTCTCATCATCATTGTTTTTAAAAGACAATAATTGTTGATAGTTTTAAACCCCTCCATCACGATTTGCCCTTGCTTTTGAGAGTCTTCGCCATGGCATTGGCCAACTTTGAGCCGACCAACTTCAAAGATTCTATCGACACGTTTCCCTTTATTTCTGAAAGCTCACTCCTACTGGACAAAGATAGGCATAAAGTTACTTTGTGGATTCGTTAAAAAATAAAGTTAACTTGAAAGTTCTTGACAAAACGAAACTTTTTTTCGCGATTTCATCTGAGATGCTTTTGTTTGGACTTAAAAGTAAATCGTTCATCCAGTGTCCAAGGAGAAAATTGTTGGACCTGGCTTTGTTCCTGTCAGCTCCGGGGGGGGTGGTTCATGAAGGAGAGCTAACAACAACGATTTTGAGAACAAAAATATTAAAGTGTTGACGTCGTGTCACCGGAGCACGCAGCCACTCGTAGATTTAAGACAAACCTGACAAAAATGTCAAGATTGCTAAAGTTTGGATCGTGGCACTGCTTGCAAATGGGCTGTGAGAGAAGCTACAGCAGCCCGGCCCGGACGAGTGTACATGAGATAATTTTGTAATGATAGCTCAGCAACTTTGCCAACAAGAGCACAGCTTCGCTTTTGCTCCGGCTTGCAAGTCCGTGTTAGAAGCCGGCCCAAAGAGCTTCGTGACGTCGATGCTGCTGGTGCGGTCGTCAAAGTGGAGCAAATCTTGAGCACGTTTTTTGTTTTGTTTTGTTTTGTTTTGATTTTTGTTTGTTTTTTTTCATTGGGGGAAGTTAATACGGCCTTACTCCCGCTACGGATTTAATGAAACGCACGGGAGTCATCATGCTTGTACCTACAAGGAAATTCGACGCATTCTCATGTCAGTTTCACAAAGTTAGCTGGAGGGATTCAGTTTGATAAATAAGAAAGAAGGAAGTCCCTTCAAACAATTATTTTTATGAAGTAACTGTCAACAAACCTTTGTTGTCATTTATTTCAAAGTGTTTATTTACCTTTCTTGGGTGAATCACTACAATTAGTTCTCCTCGTTACAAGCAGCATTGTTTATGTCATGCAGTGACATGACAAAATAAACATGTGCCTGAAAACAAACAATCAATCGCTCAAAAATACAACAATCTATTGGTTAATAGTCGTTCATAGTAGTACAAAGCTCAAAAAGTTCATTTCAGAGTGGGGTAGCTAATCATGTTTACTCTGAGAGCGATTATAGTCCTTACGTGAATACATGTATGTGTCTAAACGAGCTAATCCATTTCGTGGGACTCTATGGTGTCATCATGCATCTTTGCCCCAATTCCAACCGACAGAAGTCGGCCAATTACTTGGGCCCTCTGCCCTGGACGTATTATTGGGGCTGGAGTGTCAAACATTCTGTTGCGGACACCGATTTTTTTTCTTTTTGAGCAAGTTAGACTGTTTAATGGGTGAGGTTTGGACAGCTTTCTTGTCACCGGTCTAACATCTCATTTTCTCGGCCGACTGGTCGGACCAGCTCGCCGGTTTTGTCGTCTCGAGTGCGGCATAAGGACCCCTTTTTTGCTGACTTCTCGCCCGTTCATTCTCCAGGGGCGCTGTTAACTTTTCTGTTCCTTTGGGATTCTCTTTCTTGGCTTTTTTCTCAAACTTTAATAACTACCTGAGTTCCACACGTTCCAATCTCCGTTGTCAATGAGCCAGGTGGCATTGTCCAACCTTCTAGTCAGCAACAAAAGGGAAGAGGTCATTCAAGGAAAGAGAGATCAATAAAATTCTTTTTGGACTCAACCACCACCGAATTACGGTATTAGCGAGGATTTAGAGGGCTTGGTTGCGCCTAAGAAGACTTGCAGAGCGACAGGAGAAAAAAAATCTACCATACGCCCTGGAGCGATATTAGCCCTATACTGTCACGGTGTTACATGAAGAAAAAAAAACTCGCTTCAATTAGCCATTGCTTGAATTGCACACGTTGGACGGTAAGGGCAGTAATCGGATTTTCTACCATTCTACGAAGTATAAACTGAAGCCATAAGAAAGGAAAAATTCGTTGTGTTTAGCCATCTGAAATGTGACTATCTGTCAGTGAGTGAGGGCCCGAACATTGTCTGGATTTTTTTCTGGAGGAGCGTCAGCTCACAAGATGTTTGAGCGCTAGTTCAACGCGAAACAAGTTCTCAGGACTTCTTCGTTTGACGCTGAAGGGACGGTGTTGCTCTTTTGAGCTGGGCAGGAGTTCGACGGGGATTTTTTCTGTCACAGTGTCTACACGGTGGGTGTACTCTGGCAGTAACAGTTTGAAACAACTTCCCCCGCGTTTTTCACGGTAGGCTGCTTTGACCTTTTTAGAATACCAGAATAATTTTGATCACTACGCCTATCTTTTACCACAACAATTTTAGGATGTGTTTGATCGGGGCAGACGAATCTGCGAACAGGCTGGTTGCGATATCTCAGTATTCTGTGTAGATGGACAAAGAGAGAACAGGTACACCGTTTTGCAACAGTAAGCCCGCCTTTGCCAAAATTGTGCAAACAATTCGAAGTAATTAGCAAACATGAATCTAATTGATGCTTGGGGTCGAAGGGTGCATTTACATCCTAAATATGATGGGGGCAGCGAGTGGAAGCTGTGTCCAGAATTTCTGACCAAAATTAACGACTCCATATCTCTTTCAGCAACAGCTGGTTTTCGCGCCGCCATCCAAATTATTTGTTACAACGCAGGTGCAGCAAGCTTAGACACGGTTAGTTATTTTTCACTTTCTCCTCATGTGCGAGGTTGATAAGAAGGGTGAGCATTAGCCGAATGAACTTGCCACGTTAAATGTGGAGTTTGCCAAGGTTTTGGTCTCGATTCTTCGTCTACTGGTGTCGCAAACAATGCTCAGGCGGCCTTATCAAAGTGGTTACTTGATCCAACGACACCAAATTTTGTCTATAACGCTCGATTCAAAATTAAAAACCATGATGAAAATAAAGCTTAAATATTATGAGACTTTTTTTAATGTAGTAAGAATCTTTCCTGCGACCAGGACTGATTTCACTCTTCATTTGGTTATTTGTCAACATTTCACAATGTATTGACTGTTTTCTCTGGACATTTTACATCTCTGGCACTTCCTTTGGACATCGTAATAATCGCGTGACGTGTTTTCGGTGCAATTTCATATGAAAATTACATCTTGTGAGTAAGTAGGTGACTGAGACCTTTTAAAGTAACAATAGTAATTTTAAAAGAACGACCAGTCCCCTAAGGCCTTATGGATTGAAACTGTATAAAAAGACAATTTGAAAAAGCCTGAGCATTTTGAAAACCCTGTTCGGCATTTGATTGAAAATTCAAGTGGTTAAGTCACGGTGGCAAGAGCTCTGAATTGAGGGACACTGCAGGCCCCACGCGCTCAACAAGTTGAGCAAATTTGACGCTTATCTGATCTGACGCGAAATCATTTTTACGCCCACGAAATGATG